CCTCCCACCAAGATTACAAATCTCCTCCAACCTCTTCCATCAGGCAGAAGATACAAAAGCTTAAGCACACGTACCAACAGGTTCAAGAACAGTTTCTTCCCTACTGTTATTAGACTTCTGAATGGACCTCTCAAATTTCAAATCTAATGTTGATCTTGCTTTCTATGCATCTTCTTTGCAGCCGTAACTGTATTCCTTGCTGTGTTCAATCACCCTATGATTTTTGTATGTTATAATCTGCCTGTTCTGCACGCAAAAATATTTTCACTGTATTTAGGTATGTGACAATAATAAATCAAATCAAATTCTGTGGCAAATAACTCTCTCCTCAGTGCCTGTCCACCATCTACAAGTCAACAGCATAAAGGAATATTCGCTACTTGCCCAGATGAGTGCAGCTCCAACAACACTAGAAACTTGACACCAGACAGGACAAGGCAGCTTGCTTAATTGGCACTTAGAGTCGTAGAGTCATAGAATTGTACAGCACAGAAAGAGACCCTTTGGTCCAACTCGCGCATGCCAACCAGATATCCTAAATTAATCTAGCTCCATTTGCCAGCATTTGGCCCATACCCCTTCATCCACAACCTTCAATATTCAATCCTTTCATCACCAACACACAGTAGCAACAGTGCGTACCGTATATAATACGCACTGCACTAACACACTAAGACTCTCAGAGAGGACCTTGCAAACCTCTGACCTCTACCACGTTAAAGGACAAGGGCAGCAGATGCATGCGCATATCACCACTGGCAAGTTTCTCTCCAAGGCACACACCATGCTGACTTCAAAATGTATTATTGTTCCTTCACATTCACGGAGTGAAAATCTTGAATTCCATTCCTAATGGCACTATAAGCTTTCCCTCCAATCCTAGGACTACAGCAGTTCAAGGCAGCAGGTCACCACCACTACTTTCTCAAGGGCAATTAGGGGAAAGATAATAAATGGTGGCCAAATGAGCAACACCCACCATTGATGAACAAATTTTTTTTTTTAATTATCTGTGCTGAGGACCCAAAGAAGGAGCTAAAATGGATCAACTCAGCACTTCTCATTGAGGACAGTTTTAAAGACTTCAGCCTTGCCTTAACTACATCACTGAGGATGGCAATGTGAAGCCACATCCTCCCATCACTTCTTGAACTGTTTGCCATTAGTCATGTCTGAATGTAACGGGGCTACATAGCTTTTAACTTTTCTGTTGCTTGTGGATGCTTAGATCTATCAGATGGTATTTCCACAACTGAGCGTGCATGGAATCCTAAACGGTAACTTGACCAGGCTGCCAGCTGATTTGGCACTGCTGCTGACTTGGTCACCAACATCCAATATTGAAAAGGCTGGGCAATATAGTTATGACAGGCTATGGGTTACAGATTGTGGTGACACACAATTTTGCAACTCAATTTAAAACAATGCGCAGAAAAGATTGAAGGATGCTAATGGAATTCAGAGGATGCAACAATAAGAGATTAAGCAAATTGAGGGTTACTTTCTGAGTAAGTGAAAAGGCAAAAGACATCTGACAGAGGTGCTCAAATTAGACAAAGGTTCGACAGAGAGGATTGGGACAAAGCTCTTCTCTTATGGGCAATATAAGAGGAATAATTATTAGACAGTTAGTAATAGACCAAAGTAGTAATTTATGGGAGACACCTTTATACCAGCAAAAAGGAATTTAACACCGAAGTAGTTGCTACCAGTAGTGTTGACACATTTAGGTTTCATTCAAATAGTAAGGTAAAATCACCACAGTCTTAGCAGACCATAGGACTGCTCTCAGAAGCAACTGGTGGTAGTTTAACTTCAGGGTCACCACAGCTTAGGCAAGGGGAGAGGTTGAGGAGGAGAGTCCTTCACGGTAACCACAAACCCATGCTGTTAACTTCACACTACATCACAAACCTGCCATCAGCCCACTAAGCCAACTGAACCACGAGTCAAATCAAAAACATGGGGTCACTGATGATTCAGGAAGGTGGGAAGAGGTAATTAGAATAAGATAATGCTCAGGATCAGTATGAATGCCAGGATAGACCAGTTAAGTTCAAACGGCTATTTCTGTGCAGATTTTACATAACACGATGTGGCAAACACCACTAGTAAAAATCAGAGCTTTGTACGAAACCTCAAAACCAGGTGCCATATTCTCAGGCGGTCCCAGACTCCAAAAGCATGAAGTTACACAGCTCCTTTCATCTCCATTTCTCCTGAAATCCACAGGCTTTTCAAACCCAGGCTTGGCAACACCCAACGACAAGCACTTGACTGATCTTGCCTCCTCTCAACTATCCTATCCTTTGTGGGATCTACACTGCAGGCCTGAGTCCTTCGCTTAGGTTTTTTGAAGCTTTTCTTTCATAACTAGCTTATCACTTTTCAGTACTGACAATAAACACCAGCCATATGAAATGTACAGTTAGTGCCTATCAGCTACTAGGTACCAAAAAGGAAAACAACAGAACGTTCAGCACCACAATCAGTAATGCCATTTCGTGTAAACATCCATTCTCAGATTTGGCTGGTCGACTAAGTATTAGGTTTTGCTCTCATGTGAAAATTGGTTACTACATTCCCGAATAATTTTGAAATAAAGATACCCCCACCTCCCTTTCTTTCATGAAAGCCATTTTCGGAAACTATTCTCTCATCTCTCTCCTCCACTGTGAGGTGAATTCTTGGATTTCTTTTTGTAAGACTGAGGTCCCCTGAGCAGTTGCCTCTATCACTCTCCTATTAAGCTAACCCTGAACTTGTACCTCGTTCTATTTTCTCTCCAAACTCTCAATTTCTCAGAGCTCATTGTATCCACAAGAACCATCCCCTGCTCTTTCAAACCTAGTCCTGCTAAACTAACCAACCAGCTTTCTTTCCTGGTTCCCATTTCAGCTGGCATTATCAGTTTCCTCTGTGCAGGTTCTGTCCTTTTCTCCTCTAAATCTGTTATCACTTATCTCCTCAAAAATGCCCTCAATCTCTACCTTGCAAATTACCATCCAAGCCTCAACTTTTGTTTCCCCTCCAAGCCTCAACTTTTGTTTCCCCTCCATATTCCTGAATGCGTTCTCACCTCCCAAATTCAAATTTGGATCATAAGAATAAATAGTCAGGAACATAAGTAGACCATACGGGCCGTCAAGGCTGCTCTGATATTCAATACCAATCAATCCATGATACTAATCACTGGCATCAACTCCTTTCCTACCCTTTCCGTGGAGTCCGATTTCATGGGCAATCAAAAATCTATTTCAATTATGAAATTTCCACAACGTTCGAGTGGAAAAAAAAATTCAAAGACTTACAACCCTTTGTGTGAAGAAATATATGAATATGGTCAGTTTCCCAGAATTCCACTTTTAAGTTAATTCCCTTTAATTTCTCACCCATGCCACAGCGCTGAAGTAGTTTTCAAGGTAACAAAATGATATGACAAAGGCTGACAATTTCTCATCTTTCTTCACCTGTCCACAACCTTTGGCAGTTGACTTCTCCTTCAGCCAGCTAGGTTGGACTTAAATCATTCTCATCTAACCATGGTTAGCAAATTATCAATGGTTTATTTTCCCATTTCTACAGTTACTCTTAATTTCCCAAAGATCTCTCTTGCCCACCCAATCTTATGTACATGCTGCTCCTCGGCAACATCCAAAGAGTTTCCACACGTATCTAAGTCCAACTCAAAAGCTTCTCGACCACTCTGCAGTCTCCAAACCACTGACGGTTAAATAGAAAACTTGCACATGAAAGAATACAAGTGTGCTACCGTAACGTATGCAAAACAAATGCTTGACCATTTCAACAAAACCAATTGTTGAATGCAAAAATAGTTCTGCTATTCGGAAATTGGGAAACGATTCCAGACAAGGAAACAGCTACATTTGTACTATACGTGAAATCAATAGAGGGGAGGCCTAGAAAAACAGATATAGATGACAAGTCAGAATTCAAAAGGGCCAAGGATGTTGACAGGATTTGACAAGAGCCCCCCAATGGAACACAACTTTTTCAATTTTTATGTTTGAATTTCATCCTAAAATCCAATGGCTACCAAACTTCTGTGATTAAAGGTCAGCCAAATTTAGGTGAAATTAAATGTTTCTCGACAGGAAACTTTTTGCAAAACTGATTTACTAATAAAATGAGTTTCTTCTACAAATAATGCATTTAAAAAGGAAGCAGATTATTCAATAAGACAACAGAACATATTTCAACTGCTAACACTAAACTACACTGTCGATTTCACAGTTTACTAAGAGACGAGTAGTATTTTCTTAGCTTTACAATGAGACGTTCCAACCCATTCACAGATCATAGAATATTCCAAAAGTCAGAATCTGAAATAAGCGAACTAACTGGATAGGTACTCTAATGCAAATACAGTTATGATAAATGTTTTAAAAATATAGCGAACGATAAGTAGAAACAAGATGAAAACCGGTTTAAAGATCAGAAAGCCTAAAGCTAGGCAATGCTCCTCCCATGGAACGATAACGGTGCAGTCATAGGGCAGCAACGCCATCATCTAAACCGGTGGCAGAAAGGTAAAATGAGAAACGAGGCAGGTAGTTGCCACCTGTACCTCCCCCCTCCTCAACCCAACCCAACACAACCAAACCCAAACCCACACCCACATCGAGGTCGGTACCTGGGCTCCTTCCCCCATGGTCAGGGAAGGTGTGCAGCACTGAATCCCGAGGGGAGAGAGAGTGGGGAGAGGAGCTGCACCCAGTGACTGTGCACATCTGTTCGTTGCTGTAGTCCGGAGGGCCTGGTTACGGCCGCCATTTTGCGGTAACCGAGGGTCCCGCCGTTAATTCAGACCCAGCACGAGGGGGAATGTAAGGGTTTTCATGTGGGGGAAGGAATGAGAGGGGAGGGGGGTGTGAGAGGAAAACAGTTTCGCTACTGAGGGAGGGATGTCCGTATGGGTAGCTTTGCCGGCGTTTAACGGTCCCTCCCGTACTGGACCGGCTCTGCCACCCCCCTCCTACCTGTACTGAGCGCCGCCATGCGCGAATCCGTAGTAGTTACTCGCCGCCATCTTGGCGTCTTCGCCCAACCGGCCGGGCACTGCGTCACGTGACCGAGCCGGCGCCGGGTTGTGTGGGGGGGGAAGGGCAGGATAGAGGGAGGTGGGGGAGAATCAAACAAAACTTTATTAGCATCACCTCTGCGAACCACCACAATAACGATCGCAAATAACTTCCATTCACGACTCTCAATCGCGGGCACACTAGTGCCCCTTGACTAAATAAAAACTACTGCAGTCGGTCATTGTGTGAGAGAAGAGTCTGTGAACCCCTAGGACATAATAAAGCGAAGCCGCGGGGAGGGGAACGAAAAGTCTCGGAATACAACATGAGCAAAGCGGCTTATTGCACCAGCTTTTGTTTTAATTGGAGTTGATCATTCAATCGCAGTTCAGTCAATGTCGTGAATGGCGAAGGAAACTACCAGACTCTTGAATCGACCACAAGTCAACCAAGCAAGAAAGAAAGGTTTTCGAGGGGAATTAAATAATAATGCCATGGACTTTAACGTTTCGAGTTCGGTGACACTTCTTCAGAACCTGTTCTGAGAAAGAACCACTGGACCCGAAACGTTAACTCTGCCTACTGTCCAAAGATGCTGCCAGACTTGTTGAGTTCTACCAGGAAATTCTGCTTTTGTTTCAGATTTCCAGCATCTGCAGTTTTTTTTTCAATCCACGGTCTTTACTGAATGGGGCCCTGCGGCATTATGGATGGACAGACCGGATGCCTCCGCCCTACCCGCCTTCCGATTGGCCGACACCCCTGTCAATCACGGGCCGTTTCCGGCTGCTGAGGAAGAAGAGGAAAATTCCGCGGAAAGCGGCGGTTCCGTGAAGCCGGGTTCGGGACACACCAAACTCCGGCTGGGCGCCCTACCCCGAGCTGCTTCAGATACTATAGACTGAACACCGCCCGAGCCACTGATTTGAAAGGGATGAGGTAGCGTTTCTCCCCGCCTCCCGCACCCCGGCGGCTGGAAGCTCCTGGCGGCAGGGCCGGGTGATGCGGTAGGACCTGGTGCTATCGGTACTCACCGTAAGCGAAGGAGACTATCGGACATATAGGAATCATTAGCTTCCCTGCGTCTGACCGCGACCTTTCACCTCGCCGATACCCCCCACTCCGCGCTCCCTGTGCGCACACATACACCGTCTGCGCGGTGACGACGTGACCGGCGCCGTGCGTGCGCGCGAACGTGGCTTGGAGTCCATTCAGGGATAAAAGGGGTAGTTTTACCTCCCACCCGACAGGCGGCGCTGCGTACCTCCCAATCAATGCGCTTTTATGAATCCCAAGAAACGGGGTAGGTTTAAATTCTTCCAACAACCTCATGAAACTAGAAAAGTATAGTAGTAATACTGGCAATGTTGTAAGACACGTTTATCCCTTAACAGAACCATCAAAAGGGTCCATTTCAATTACCAGGTAATACGAATGTTGATAGAATAGCAGATGTTTGCTCTTTAAACATTGAGGGGCTTTATCCCTCAAAAAAGGGTAATCGGGAACTTAGAAGACATTTTGACTTTTAATAAACAAAATTTCAACCTCAAGATATGTAAGTTGTATTAACATAACTGAGTAACCAGTACATATCCAGAGAGATCTAAACTTCCAGGTTTTATAGTGTAAACATAGTGTGTAGTGTATGTGGTCTTCTCTACATTGGGAAAAAGAAGCGTAGACTAAGCAACCACTTTGCAGAACAGAGGTAGTAGGAACTGCAGATGCTGGAGAATCTGAGACAACAAGGTGCAGAGCTGGATGAACACAGCAGGCCAAGCAGCATCAGAGGAGCAGGAAGGCTGACGTTTCAGTCTAGGCCCGAAACGTCAGCTTTCC